ACTTCTAACAAGATATTCCGATATTGGCTCTGTCAGTTGTGGAGCTCAACCGTAAGATTCTAGTCGTTTGAAGATTGTCCTGCGCAGATCGCAGGCTAGCTTTCCAACCCAATTGCGGGCACACTTTTAAGGGCGCAGCGTTGCTCAATCTCTTATTTTCTCTGCTAGAGTCGGGAATTTCCTCACGCTTACGGCGCCCGTTCCGGCCGTGAAATCCGCCTAGCGGCAGGACCGGAACAAGCGGAAGCAACCAAGGGCGCCACGGCCGCGGCCGCGGACGGAGCCGCCCGCGGTCCCCGTCGGCGGAGAGGCGGCGAAGGAGTGACGATAGGTGTACAAGTGCAGCGCACAACATCGGAAGCAGCTGTTGACACATGGAACTTTTATTCAGATCTGAAAGATTTCCGCGATATGACAAGAAGATTTTGCTTTCAACCAAACCTGGTTTAAGGGCAACTACCAGAGTTGGGAGCCACGTACTGGTGCGGCGAGAGCGTCTCCTGCTCTCATCGAATGCAACCTTAAAGCATCCTGCAGATATTTCAAAAACATTCTCAGAAGACATTGGTGAGTCTGGCTGATATTTCAATGGAAAGTCTAGGAGCTAAATGAAGCTTGGAAGGAACGTGGACAAGCTCAGGGCATGCACCGTGTAAGGCATTCAAGTGTTCAGTATGTGTCTCTAAAATATCGAAGGACCGCAAATGGCCGCAGCAACTCAAACCCAAGTTGAGACTGGACGTCTACATGCGCCTGTCTTTGCAAGCGTTTCTTCGGACGCCTCTGGAGGTATGTATTCTGTTCAGCGATACGGCCCGCGAAAGATATGATGATTCAGACTTGTCTGGTAGTCAGAAATAAACGGTACTTGAAGAAGTTCAGATTTCTGCCGACTAGCTGAACCTGATAAGGGCGAGAAGAAGGTGACCGTAGGGGCTTTTCTGCTCATGTCTTATCCACCTTCTTCGTGATATAATCTACTCGGGATTCCGTACGTCTCCGACTGTAATTGCGTCAATCGTACATCAGTCAACCCGCTGCTTCGAGAAGACGCCTAAGCGAGCGAGAAGCAGAAGCCGGTTACTCAATCCCGGTCTCAGCCAACTTGCCCCAAACCCTACGCTTCGATCTTCTAGAACGAGAAAGGGGAAGAGAATATAAAACAAACGGAATACCAAAGCCGAACGGAGAGCGCCGACCCCGGTCGTCCTGGGCCCTGGCTGTGGACGGCTCGGATGCACGCCATCCGCTTGAATCTCAGGACCCAAGTCCTGAGAAAAGCACTAATTGACCGTGTTGGGAGGAGAGTGCGTAAGAAGTCGAAACCCCGGAAACTTCGACTGTTTTCGTGGATGAGGGAAGCTCGCATGACGAAAAGCGAATCGACGACGACTCTGAGGACACTGATGAAGAACGAGGTTCAAAAAAGGGACCTCGCAGGCTGCTTACGTATGTAAGTGTTCAGAATGATCTTGTAGGATGAGACCTTCAGCGGAAGAGTAAAGCACAGATGATGTCCCGGCCGAGCCGCACAGAGCCGTCCTTCAGAAGGGCAGCAACGACTGCACGGGATTCTCCTCGACTTAGAGGAACCCTGGGAATCAGCGCAAAAAGAGGAACGCGCGTTAAGAGGAAAGCGCGTTGATCTAGGGGGCTGAACGACCTTTCCCGGCCAAACCCCGAACGCGAAGACACTTCGTGGCTGGAAACTTCACATGCAGTCTGTCGTTCGGAAGGATGCACTAAAGCAGAACCGGTCACGGTCAGCCAGGCAAGTTCTGGGCTGGCTAAAACGGGTTCTTAATTAGCAGACGTCTGCACACCTGGCCGGGGGACAATCAAGCCGCAGAGAGGAAAGATCGTCAAAGCTAAACTCAGAAAGGGGTATCCTGAGCGCGACTCAGGCAATCTGTTGACAAACAACCGGGGCCAACAAATTCGTCTTCCGTTATCACCAGTCTTTTGAAATCTAGTACTGGGAGTCTTCTCAACGAAGCTTATGAAGCTCTTGATTGCTCTGGGCCGGCAATCCCCTTGTTTGGGAAGGAATGTGACGAGCCGGTTTAGTCGCGAAGCCGTTGTAGCGCGCTCGGGATAGTTGCATCAGCACAGAACGTCTTATCTTCCTTGACGGCAGCCACTGCATGCGGTGATCATGTATCTTAAGGACCTCCGATCTATCTCTAGTACCAGCGCCTCGATATAATCTCACCTTCACGTTTCGGTCCGCCTTCGGATATCTGGCAGCTCTCCACACGGCGATTGGAAGCGCGCCGGCACGAAACTTCTCCAATTGAACGCCTCGCTTCTACTACTAGTAACAGCAAACTTTCTGCGATGGCCTCAACGTCGGAAGTTTTGCAGCCGCCGTACACAGCCTTGACATCCACGAGGTCCTGCGTTGAGTCTCATTGTCTACTTGGCAGCTGGCCAAGTCTTTCAGGGCCCGTTTGCGTCCTGATAAAGAAAGCCTGGTTTTGGAAAGTGCCCTTTAAGTGCGATCCGTTCTGGTACAGTCTCTTGAGCAATCATTGTAACCATAGTTAACGCCGCCCGGCTTGTTTGACGGGACTACTCAAACACTGGTGGGAAGAGCGCAACGTCGCTGTAGCGGCGCACTGCGGCATCAAAATCTCACCGGACATCCCAATCTCAGCGTGCTCGAGCCATCTGCATGATCAGTAATCAGTACCGCGTTTCGGTTCGATTAGGCCCAGCACACGCTGTTGCTCGTTTTGCCCTGTTGTGAAAATATATCTGCATGCAATCAGTTTTGCTAGTACTATTGAAACATCCCGCGGGCCGCCGCGGCACTCAGCAGCCGCAGCAGCTAGTTTGCAAGTCTTCCAACTTGGCAATTAATGGTAGTACCGTACTGCTAACTATTTATCAGCGAGCCGTCTTCTCCGGACTCATTTGGCACGTGAAAGGCTTGTTGAAACATAGCTATATAGCTCATTACATGACTAACTTGAGCACGGCAACGTGCAATGTTCGGGTTAATACCGACCACTCGGCGGCAGGTTGCTGCAAGCCTCCGACAGGCATATGGGTCACTGCTGTCACTATGACAATGATCGGCGCCGGGCCAAGCTTGCTACGAACGGTTTTCTTTGATCAGTTACAATGCCAGTAATGCCATGATGGACAACGTATTTGAATTATATCAGTGACTTGAGTCATGAGTTAATGAGCGGCCTGTGAATCATGCAGATCAGATACGTATGCATACTATACCACGGATTGCGAAACGGGTGAATGGCAAGGGGCGTGCATGGCTCACTGCAAGGATCCGACGCGGAGTCCCAACCGTTTCAACCAGCAGCGCGAGCCGCGCGCACCCTTAAGGATCACACTGGCACTTTAAATGACGGTAACTTCAATAGGACGGTCTGGCCGGCCCGGAATTACAAAGATAAAGATGATTAGCTGGTACTCTGATAATAAGACTCATTGTTTGCCAAGTTGGGCTCGTTAATAGCACCTTGGTGGTGCTAGGTGATCATTTCAAGCTCCGTGAATCACTAAGCATCAGTTTCTTAGGTTCGACTTCCATACAAGTCGGGACTTGAATGCAAGAAAAGCAGGTTCTGATACCCGTGTACAACGTATGCTGGGGGACCTTCGTGTCAATCACTGGCTTCAGAAGGCGCACTGCAGATGTCCGCAACACTGCAGCCCTAGGACTTGGTATCTGACCAGAATACTGGATAATCACGGACGCTATAAAGCAACAGTTCTGCGCAAACTCACAACTTGCAAACATGGTTACCCTGGCCGAGTCCCTCCTAAACAAGACACATTTCTGCCGGACCTACTTGGACGACCTCGTTGTCTTTCCGTTTTCCTTGACCTTTTCTCGTGCTTCTTTGTTCGCTTTCTGACGCGCAGCCGCCGCAAGCTTTCTATCCTGCAACTCTCTCTTCTGGCACATGACGACCTCATATACCGACACGTCTCCAAGCTGCAAAGAGCACACGTGGCATGAGGCGGTCGACATTCGTGGAATGTCGGTGGACGTGACATGTCTGCCAGTCTATCTTCTGTGACTGTGGTTACACCTGTGACTTAAGGCGAAATGCCTTTCAAGCGCTGCCGCCAGGGACTAGAAAAGAGCTCTTCTTCATTTTCAGGCATGTATGTAAAAGTTGAAAGAAGCCAAAAGCACAGTACCTGCTCTTTCAGGATTACACGGCCCTGATTCTGAGCGGGGACTGCGACATACAAAGAGACAGACTGCTTCACCATCAGAGGTGGACTTTTACCAAAGCTGCGAAACAACGTGCTTCAAACAACCCTGACAAGGTCGAATCAGGCCCTTGGGTGTGCCTGTCCCTTTGCCTATGTAGACCATCCTAACCACAAACTCTGCCTTCCCAGGACCTTACAACTTCTAGGGAGGCCAAAATGCAGTGTCTGCAATTTCCACTCTCAAGAACCAACTCAGCGGGCATGGCTCGACAAACTCACTGACAAGGACAACCTTCCAAAAGGCATACGAATCATAGGAATCTTCTCTTCCGCTTAAACAGGACAACAGAAGGAAGGTAAGAGTTTAGAAGCACTAGCGAATCTTCTGTCCGGAAGAGAGGGTCAGCTCCAAACGTGCAAGGTTATTCCTGCGCCTTTCTATGAAGGCTTGTTCTTCGACCCTCAAGCTTTCAGATTTCACATCATCCGTCCTAGGTAGGAATTGCCTGATTGAGCAAAGACAAGTCAACTGCCAGACAACTGGTCAAAACTAAGAAAATGAGGTCAGGTTTTGCTTTTGGACGTACCTTGATGTATCTCTCCACAGATAGCGGGTCTGGCCACTGCCCGAGAAGCCGGCCGCGGGTGGTGACTCGCACACCCAATGCTGCCAACGCTGTCTCAATCAGTTTTTTTCTCGCCTCCTCTAGTTCCTGCTCTTTCAGATTGTATAACCGCATGCGCCGAATCCGCTCCAGCGTGATGGACGTCGTGTGCTCCCTATGTTTCAAGTACTCCAGAAAAACACCCTCGGAGTACGGGACGCTGTCTAAGAAGGTTTTGATTCGTTGAAGGTCCTTTCCATCGATGCTCCAGAAGGGGGTTTCATCACCAATGTCCAGATCCAACTCTGATTCAGGGAATCTGGCCAAGTCAGCTTTAAACAACTTCTCGATCCACTCAAGCTCTGTGTCAAGAATCTCTTGGCGCCTTCGAATCTCGTACTCAACCTGTGTCTCGCCTGCTGGCCACCATTCTTGGACCCTCGAAAGCTCACTCTCCCCTCCCTCTTTGTCTATCCTGTCGAGTAGGCGCTTGATTCTCCTGGATGCTGAGAAGGCGTCAAGGCTTTTCTTGACGGCAGTGTCGCAACTGCAGTTCTCTGGGTTTGGCAGCAGTGCAGAGCTCAGCACCCTTCCAATCCTGCAGGTTTGCACAGACAGTCCCGCCCCGGAACCAGGAAACTTTTCTCTGTGGAGCAGTTGGCCTCCATCCCAACCCTGGTAGACTCCAATCAGGTGGCCATTCAGGCAACAGTGGCCGCTCACATTTACGCCGTTGCCTTTGGTTAGCTGGAAATTGAACTTCCCATCGCGGGGGACTGGCTCAGTGTCACAGATTGGATTATCGAAGATCGCAGGAGGGAGCATCACCAAGGGCGCCTGACAATACGCGCACAGGTCCGTTGCCATCTTCTGCAGTTGCTTCTGCGCATAGCCAGGCGCGTTCAGGTACGCGACAGCTCCCAATCTCCTCGCAATTGCAGAGTGCTCGAACCTCTGGACCACACCTCGGAACACCATACCCAGAAGCCCTATGGAACCGCACCGCTGGCTCCGCATCTCATGCGAGCAGGGGCTGCTGACAAAGAGAACATCTGACGCGAACTGTGCCATCAAGCCCAGGTCTTTGTTGACTTGAGGCCCCGTCTGGAAACCGCTTGCTGTTTCATGCATGTGTCCCAGGATGTCTTCGTAGACACCGGCGAGTCTCTCAGCACGCTCCCAGTTGGCACTAGTCTCAAGACCGGGGCAGTAGAGCAAGAGCTTGTAAACACCTAGCCAACCCCCTGGAGGAGATGCCGAAGTAACGCTGTACAACAGAGAGTTGCATAACGCCGGCGCCGCTTCCAAGCAGAGCTGCCTCCAGAGGTCCCCTTCCATCACTTGTCTCCAGCGTTTGCATACGCATGCAAGCGCCACCAAATGCATAGGGCTTGGCCCCAGCTTGAGGAAAATCGAAGCGAGCAGCTCTTGGCCCAGATCTTCTACTGTAACCGTGCCGGTGTTCCGCTTCATCGTCGCCATGGAGAAGGGGGCTGGATTGCTTCTCAGCACGTAAGAAAGTCCAGCTGGAATGCGTCCCCTGATCCCCTAGACCTAACCCCAGAATGCAGCTTCTTCCCCATGCCCCATTCTCAGAATCCTGGAAATGCACGCAGCAAGCTACGATCTAGGTACGAGGGAAACAATGGATCGGCAATGGTTATTGGCCAGGCCGCCCGGCCAGACCGTCTGACCGGACTGCGCGTCAACCATTCCCACTCCGAGCCGGGCCTGTGCATGATCACCACTTCATGCGGTGACTCTAGCTGGAGTGGAGGCAGGAGTCAGGACACGCCCGCCTACCTTCAAAAAACATACCGTAGTAGCCTGACAGGAAGGCTGTCCACTCCAGCCTTCACAACCCGATCAGGGCGCAGAGGTCATCAGGCTTAAGGTCAGCTTTTTATGAGGGGTGTTGCTACTATTATAGGCGGGGAGCACTGTGAATTTAGCCGTGCAAAGCGAACAAAGTGGAGGAGCCAGAATCCGGATCTCAGTAAGATCAAACGGGGCGCAGTTGCCGATGAGATTAGCGCAGATCAAGACGGTGACTCGTACTTGCAGCCCTGTCTGAAAGGTTTGGACCTAGACTCTAAGCTGCCCATCTTGGCTAAGTTTGACCTTTTTCACACGCACGCAATTTGCTGCTTGATCCCAGATAATGTGGTCTACTAAGGGCTGAAACTTTAGTCACGCTATGCCAGCATTAGCGACCCCTCGCCTGACCAGCGGGGGGGTGCTCAACCACTCTTCTCAGGCCCCCGTTGCTGACAAGTTTCCCAGTCGGCAGCTTTCACCAGAGGCTTTCAAAGTCAGTAGCTTCTCGTTTTCTGGCTCCACTTTTGGCAGCCCCATATTTACAGGAAGATCAGGAACAGAAGAGCTGTTTAAGGTCAGCGGGAGGAACCGCGTGGTTCAGCAGAACTGCGCACGATGTGAAGTGGCAGCCAGAGAGTCGTTCCGCAGAGGCGATGATGTCAGCAGGCCTGGTGGGGGGTGGGGCACGACGCCAGCAAGAGCGGCCGGGCCCATTCGCAAACGGGGGGCCAGCGTGCGATGCCGAGTTGCTGCTAGGGAAGCCCCCCCGGGGGCGGACAAACTGGCGCTTCCTGTAATTGAGGAGGAGGTCCCGGCAACGTGTGAAAAGGCCCCGGAGCTGCCGAAGTACGCGGCCCCTGAGTTCCCTAGGAGACTGCCGTCGCAATTGCAGGTGCGCACATGTTTATTCTCCCTCTCGAAAACCTGGGTTGCACACTGTTGAGTTCCCCCTCTTGAAGATGTAGAGAGAGCTGGTCCTAACCACTGTGCGTTGAGGCGGACTGTATGTGCAGAGATCTGCTATCCTGCCCCAGAATTCACTAGACTGCTTTCTTTGCGCTGGTGCGCTTGTTTTCATTTGAGAATTGATACTTCTTCTCTTATGCTTTGGTCGTGGGGCTGTAGCCGGCTGTGAGCGTTGACTGGGAAAGTTTGTGGGTGTCCAACTTAGCACAGTGGTTGGACCCTGGCAAAGTTCAGAATGTACACATGCAACTCTATGTATCCACTCACTTGTGAAGGGAGTCGGTTCCGAGATGACGGTGCCGTTGGGGATCGTGACAATTTGTTACATGTCTGTTACATACTTGTTACACTATGCACATATTTCTTTACACGAGACCTTGCCTGATCGATTGTTGCGGTGCCTTCCGTCGAGCGAGGCAGTTCTAGTTTGTTCTTTAAGTGTGGACTTAAATAGGAGGAGGGCATGCTGGTAGAAAGCAGCAAACTTATGCAGAAAAGGAAACGCTTCTTCTTCGGGAGCCGGTCTGCTGTTTAAACTAAAGCAATGGAAACACCGTGATCATCGTGTTCCATTGAATCATCGTGTTTCCATTGTGATATGGGTACATCAGTGACTCTGCCTTTTTGCCCCTGGTACGAGGAAAGCTTCCTGCAGAGATAAGCGCTTTCACAAGAGGGTCGGTTGACCAGACTTGGAAAGACCAATCCCTTCAATCGAAATCGTTCATCTTGTCTTTGGTTTGATCGTTCATTTCGTGCCACTTTCAAGTGCTCCTGGTTGCTCGCTCCTCCTTTGCAGTGTGAAGCGGGCATGCTGGGGGGGTCAGCGAGTTCTGACTATCTTATCATCGTTCTTACTTTCAAAACCTTATAGCCAGTCGTTTTGGTTATTTGATACTACGAGGACATGCTGGGAGGAGTCAGCGCGTTTTGACCATTCACTTTTGTTGACACTTTCGATTTATTATTTTTGTGCGCTTTTCTTTACAGTACGAAGAAGGCATGTTGGGAGGAATCAGCGCATACACACGGGGTGTCGGCCGGCTAGACTTGGGGGCAGACACACTATCATACCTGAAGAAGATTCTGACGTCACGAGTGTATGACGTGGCAATCGAGTCTCCCCTGGAGCGCGCAAACAAGATCAGCGACCGGATGGGAGCGGACATCTTCCTCAAGCGGGAGGATCTGCAAAAGGTGCGCACGCCCCTCTAGCTGTCTCGTTTTTCTTTTCCTACTTGTCTGCAGCCTTTGTTTGCCCGGCTTTCTTTCACGATGCTTTTCTGACCTGTGGCAACTGGATACTCTACTGCAGCAAAAGGGCCAACTGGAGAGGCAACCTGTATTCTGTTGGCTTGTTGTATTTTGAGTGTCGGTAGATGGAGAACAACTGGTTGCTTGCTCTTGATCCAGTGGTCTTTTTCTTCGTTGATAGACTGCCTTTACCGTGATCAAGCTAGACACTAGTGTGCTTGTCTGAGTGTCTCTCCCATCTCGTCGGGTGTTGCTGTCTCGTCAAAATAATCGTCATTGCTTCACTTCGGAACAGTTTGGGTTTGTCGAGTCTGGCCGTCAAACCAAGCCCCAGCTTCCCAATCGTGTTGCTTGAGAACGCTTTGACCCAGTGTGGTGTTTGGCAGTTGAGTCGTACCGTGCAGAGAACCAAACCCCTCTATTTGTCACTTTCACTGGCATCTGATTCCAGAATCTTACAAAGTTCGAAGTGAACCCTTCGAGGGGATCTCAAGTTGCTCGTTTGCAACATGATGGCCCAATCAAAACGGTCTTGGAAGGGTATCGTCTGCTCATCCCGCAAGTATAGCGATCCTTTCAAGCTTCTTTATGGTCATGCTGCCTTCCGTTTATTAACCCGCTTCTAACATACTTCTTGACCAGGTTTTCTCCTTCAAGCTACGTGGCGCCTACAAGATGATGGCGCAGCTGCCGCAAGACGCCCTTGAAGGAGGGGCATCTGCCTTGACTGCTAAATTTTCAGATTCTCTAAAGTCTACGTTTTTCTTACGATGGTTTCTTAACTCATTTCAAACCTACTTCTTGACCAGGTTTTCTCCTTCAAGTTGCGCGGCGCCTACAACATGATGGCGCAGCTGCCGCAAGATGCGCTCGATCGGGGAGTCATCTGCTCTTCTGCCGGGAACCACGCCCAGGGAGTCGCGCTTGCGGCGGCGCAGCTTGGTTGCAGTGCAATCATTTGCATGCCGGTTACGACACCTGCGATCAAGGTGGGTGGTTTTGAATCGAGCTTCTGGCTTTGGGGTTCATGGCTGAGGGTATCTAAGGATCATATTGCTTCTCGATCTTAGGTTCTATGGCGTTTGACTTGGGGGTTTTTGAGTTGCATTCGAGCTTGAAGTTCAGAGGTTAGAAAGACATCGCTCTGCCAGGTACAATGGCCAAAGGATGGTACTCACCGCAGCAGCTCAGATGCAGCGAAAGTTTTTGGATATCGCTAACCACACCCGCAACTAAGATACGCAATACTGGTGCCTCAGATTTCCAAGCTTTTAGATTAGTCTGTATAGACCGAGAGGTGGCTTTGACCAAGCAGAGGGTGCTGTGCTAGGAGTAATAACATCAGATTGAGAAACGTTTCTGCATTGAGAAAGCGAAGCTCAAGTCCTTTCGGAATCATTTTAGGAACTTTTTGGCAGAGGTTCCGGCGAGCTGCGCTCGCTTCTGGATACGTGACGCGACCACTCTTGATTAATTGTCTTTCATAATCGAGTCGCGCAAGTTCTGGACAGCGAATAAGTAGGGGACCTTATCTAGCAATAGGAGGACTCGGTATTGCGCGTTCCGCAAGCACGTAGCTCTTCTTCGCTCATCCTACAAGACGCAGGCATGTGCTAAGCAGACGACGCTTGACGGGCCGAGAGGAGGGGTCACACGCAAGCCTGGTTTTGCGCTTTGAAGAAAACAGTTTCTGAGAATCACTTGTGTCATTGCAATGGAACTCTGCGGAAGCGTCTCGGAGCAACCGTGGTTCTGGTGGGCGAAGCGTACGACGAGACGCAGGCACATGCCAAGCAGAGGGCTCTCGAGGAGGGCTCTCAAATGAGGTCAAACGCAAGCTCGTTGTTCGAGATTTTCAGCAACGCTTCGCTCACGGTTACTTCCTTTCTCTGCAGTGGAACTCCGTGAAGCGGCTCGAAGCAACCGTGGTCCTAGTGGGTCTAATTTCCCTGACACACCGCCGAAATTTTTTAAGTCAATACAATCCAGCCTTAAAAGAGACCGCAATAACTCGGCGTAAGTACATTCGAACTTACTGCAGTCCACGTTCGTTTTTTGCAGTGGAACTCTGTGAAGCGTCTCGGAGCGACGGTGGTCCTGGTTGGTGAGGCGTACGATGAGACGCAGGCATTTGCCAAGCAGAGGGCGCTCGAGGAGGGCCGCGTCTTCGTGCCGCCGTTCGACCACCCTGACGTCATTGCGGGACAGGTGAGGGGCCTGCTGACGTCAGTGTAGCTCCTTGGTTGGCTGCGTGCGCCGTTTTTGAGAGCGCGTTCAACTGGCAGCGCCAAATCTTGGGAATCTTCCACCAAACAAATGCCGTTGGAGCAGCTGTCGAACACCGTTGATGACATCATTCCGGGATTCCAAATTCGCGCTAGTTTTGCTGATGTAGCAGCACTGCCAATTATAAGTCCTCACCCGCTATTTTCCTGCTAGGTTCGTCATACACTACTCTTGTTTCGTAGACTTCGTAAGTTTTTTGTTTTGACAGCGACCCCAGTTCAAAGCGCACCCGAGAGCTAGGGCGTTGGAGGTCACACTCTCCCTATGACACTTCTCGTGCTTGAGTCCGAACTCCGAAATGCGAAACGACTTCGTTGCGGGGGGGGTGGACTTTCCGACAACCCGAGGATGAAGCAGATTGTCTTTCGTTATCTCTTTCTGCACACCAGATCTCTGTTTTCTTGGCAGGGCATTGCCGGCATGGAGATTCTATGTCAGCATCCAGGGCCTTTTCACGCCATTTGTGTTTGGTCGGGGGAGGGGGTCTAGTCGCCGGCATCGCAGCATATATGCACTGCCTGCTTCCGGACTTTTGGGTCATGGCACCGTCGGCATGGATATCTTTGCGGCAGCATTCACTCCGTATTTGTTCCAATCGGGGGAGGGTGCTTATCTGAAATGCCACTTTCTGAATTGCTCGGTCATCTATAGAGCACGGTCGGCATAGAGATCCTTCGTCAGCACCGGGGGCCTATTCACGCCGTCTTCGTTCCAGTCGGGGGAGGGGACCTGATAGCCATCATCGCGGCGTATGTGTACTGCCTCCTTCGCCGAAACTCTGGAAGCTGTAAAAAGTTCAATCTTTTTTTTTTTTGCAGGGCACCGTCGGCATGGAGACTCTTCGTGAGCACCCAGGGCCTATTCGCGCCGTCTCTTTTTCAATCGGTGGAGGGGGCCTAATAACCGGCATCCCGGCTTATGTGAAATGTCTCCTTCGCCCAAACTTGAAATTTCGAAGCTGTTAACAGCTTAACCTCTTCTTACAGGGCACTGTTGGCATGGCAATCCTGCGCCAGCACCCGGGACCTATTCACGCCGTCTTCGTTCCAGTCGGGGGAGGGGGCCTGATAGTTGGCATCGCGGCGTATGTGTACTGCCTCCTTCGACGAAATTCTGGGTCATGAAGCTGTAAAGAGTTCAATCTTTTTTTTGCAGGGCACTGCCGGCATGGAGACTCTTCGTGAGCACCCAGGGCCTATTCACGCCGTCTCCTTTGTAATTGGTGGAGGGGGCCTGATAACCGGCATCATGGCTTATGTAAATGCCTCCTTCGCCCAAACTTGAAATTCGAAGCTGTTAACAGCTTAATCTCTTCTTACAGGGCACTTTTGGCATGGAATCCTGCGCCAGCATCCGGGGCCTATTCACGCCGTCTTCTTTTCAGTTGGTAGGGGGGCTGATAGCTGGCATCGGTTCGGCTTAAAGATTCTGACCTACTTCAAAGGTCGTTGATTCGTCAAGAACTCATTTACCATTCCTTTTCAGGGGACTGTCGGCATGGAAATTTTACGCCAGCACCCAGGGCCTATTCACGCCGTCTTCGTTCCAGTCGGGGGAGGGGGCCTGATAGCCGGCATCGCGGCTTATGTGAAATGCCTCCGGCCAGAGGTCAAAATAATCGGAGTGGAACCAGCGGATGCAAACGCGATGGCGCTGTCGCTGCACGAGGGGCAACGCATCTGCTTGGACAAGGTAAGTTCTGCGGCTTCCATGAGGCACTTTGTATATCAGTCCTTGCCTTTGTCCCGCCTTTCTCGTGGATTGTGTCGACTCGATTGAGGACGGGCTCTGGCTCGCAGAGGACAGCGCAGTAGCTTGGACAAGGTGAGTAGTATGGCCCCAAGAGGCCTTTCTGAATCACCGTCTGTCCCGCCGAAATTGTAATTTACTGTTAGTTTAATCTCGTCTGGGGGATACCAACGCAGGACATCGGAGTTGCTTGGACAAGGTACTTTCTGCGGCTTCTTAACTGGCGTTTCTTTCTGACTACCTTACTCTGTCTTGCCGTTGGGTTGGCCTAATCACGGCTGCGCTAACACGTGTCCAAGCGCATCTGCTTGGACAAGGTAGTTTGCGTCGCTTCGAAAGAGGTCTTTCGTTCTGCCTCCTTGCACTTCGTCTCGCCGTTGGGTTGATTCCGTTGAAGGCTGGGCTACTGGAGCGGATAGCGCATCTACTGGACAAGGTAATCGGCGTGTTTCGAAAGAGGCGTTCTGTTCTTAACCCTTCACTTTGCCCTTATAGTGGATAGCGACTTCCTCTGCTTTATTAACGCATTTCTTAATCGCAGTATCTGCCGGAGACTCAGCGCTACAGACATGCTGCTCTCACCCGAAGCGCCGGCGAAGCATTGGACGTAGTTTCAAGAAAATATTTTTGGCATGTGCGCGGTTTTGCTGATGGCGTGGTCCCCAAATTGGTCGGCGACGAGATTTTACGCATCTGCCGGGAACTTATCGAAAAAGATGTGTTCTATTCAGAGTCTTTGGGGGAGTCAATGGTAAATCCCTCCTTATTGATTTTCTTCTCAGGTGGGCGCTTTTTCCGACCGTTAAAAATGGTCGGCGACGAGACCTTCCGCATCTGCGGGAACTCTTCGACCGTGTCATTTTACATCGACTGCAATCAGGATGATAGAAAGACTCATGCGAACCTCTTTTTCGCAGGTCGGTTGTTCCGCAGACGGAGTCGCAGTCAAAATGGTAGGTAACAAGACGGTCTGCATCTGCCGGGAACTCATTAACGGCGGCATTTTGATCTCCAGTGCAACTCAGCGATGATAAGAAGACTCATGCGAACCTCTTTTTCGCAGGTCGGCGGTTTCGCAGACGGAGTCGCAGTCAAAATGGTCGGCGATGAGACGTTCCGCATCTGCCGGGAGCTCATCCACAAACCGCTTTTTTTCTCGAAATCCCTGGGGTTTCCTTAATGATTTCTTATTATCTTTCTTTCTTCTCAGGTGGGCGCTTTTGCTGACAGAGTCGCAGTCAAAATGGTCGGCGACAAGACGTTCCGTCGCCGGGGACTCGTGAATCGTTTCTTTCAAGAAAGTCATGCAAAACCTCACGATAGTCTCCTCTTTGCAGGTGGGCGGTTCCGCAGATGGAGTTGCAGTCAAGATGGTCCGCTTTTGCCAAAAACTCGTTCGCAGACTTCTTTACCTTCTTAGAACGTTGATTTGAAAGCAGAGGTTTTTTATTTTTCTTTTTCAGGTGGGCGGATTCGCTGACGGCGTGGCCGTCAAGATGGTCGCCGACCAGGCGTTCCGCGTCTGCCGAGAACCCATCAGCAATTCCTTTTATGGTCTCTGGAGATTCCTTACTTAGTTTCTTTCTTTTCAGGTGGGCGGTTTCGCTGACGGGGTTGCGGTCAAAATGGTCGGGGACGAGACATTCCGCATCTGCCGGGAGCTCATCGACGGCGTCGTGCTCGTCTCCAAGGACGCAATTTGCGCCGCGATCAAAGACGTCTTCGAAGAAACGCGGTGCATTCTGGAGCCAGCTGGCGCGCTCGCATTGGCTGGCGCGAAAGCCTATGTCAAGTACAACGATTCGCAAAAGGGGGGGTCCAGCAACGGGGCGGCGAGGGGGGGCGCGGGATCGATGGTGGTGATTACGAGCGGGGCGAATATGAACTTTGACAGGCTAAGGTGAGCTTTCAAAATAGCCGTTTTTGGATTGCGGGATCTGTAGCCTACGAATCTCCGACAGTCTCTGCCTTTTCGGTGAGACGCCTCCTTAGTATGAGATGCTGGACCAGTCTCATCTGTGGTCGTCAGGTCTCGCAAGCCTGCATTTCAATTCACTACCAACGTGACTTCGATAGGGTCCGGCCCAAGTCCCGAGTCATCGGTCTTTCGCAGAATAACGGCCCGGCGAAGTAGCGAAGCAACGCCTTTTGTTCGTGCGCAAGTGTTGACCCAATCAGTGCTTCCGATCCTCATCAGCAGCTTTGAACTTCAAATTGCTGACGTGGCCCCGTTCTATAAACTTTGGTTGGCTCCATACGAGCCCCACTTAATTAACGTGCGAACCTGAGCCGTCAGCTGCGGATATTATGAGGATGAGGAGCAGATAGGGGGTTCGTAGACGCCTCTCTTCAGCATGCCATAATCATTCCAACTCCTGAACCAGTTTTCATACGTGTGGATATCTCCTACTCATAACCACAACAAACCTGGAGACAAGGCTCTGCGAAGCACGACTGAATATGGTAGGGAGAGGTTCGAGGTCAGTTAGTCAGCTTTGAGGGGCCGAGAGCCTGCTGAAACTTTCTCTTCTTTCAGAACAGTCGACATCAGTCAGGCGGTTGGCTTCAATTCATAACAAGGTTCAAGAAAGGGAGGCCCTTTCTGTCGTTTTCTCGCAGGGTTAAACTTGTCGTCGCGACGAGTATCCCCCAGCGCTCTGGAAAGGTTCTGGACATTTCTCCTCGATTCTGGCCAAAATCTTACTTCTCCACTTGGTTCTACTTTTATGACAACGAGAGGAGTATAATGCACTGTGATTGCTTCATGCAGAGTGGTTGCAGAACTTGCCGAGCTCGGCGAACGGAGAGAAGCGACTCTTGCGACAAGCATCCCCGAGCGCCCCGAAAGTTTGAAGGAGCTTTCTCTTTGGATTCCTTGTCAACGGTTTACTTGTTCCAACCTCATTCCAGTTTCAAAACGACAAGAGGACTCAAACGCACTGTGGTTGGCCCATGCAGAGTCGTCGCAGAAGTGGCGGAGGTTGGCGAGAGGAGAGAAGCGGTGCTTGCGACGAGCATTCCTGAGCGCCGCGGAACGTTCAAGGAGCTTCTCTGTTTGATCCTGGTCAAAAACTCACTACTATGCACTTTGTTCTGGGCTTAAATCGACAAGGGGATTGAGTTGCACTGGTTGCCCCATGCAGAGTCGTCGCAGAACTTGCCGAGGTCGGCGAAAGGAGAGAAGCCGTTCTCGCGACGAGCATCCCGGAGCGCCCCGGAACGTTCAAGGAGTTTTGCCGGCTGGTGGGGCCAGATATCAACATCTCGGAGTTCAAGTATCGGCGGGCAGACGACGCGGCAGCGCACGTGTTCTACAGCGTAAACGTGGCAAACGACGAGGAGCTGGCGAATCTGCTCGCGAGGATGGCGAATGCGGAGTTTCCGACGATCGATATGAGCAGCAACGACCTGGCGAAGACGCATCTGAGGCACTTGGTGAGGATCTACAGACGCTTTTTCCGACGTCGGTTTTTCTTTCCGCTTAGTCGGGATCCAAAACTGGCGATACTTTTCTTGATGAGAACGTGGCGTGGAGTGACATGCTGGAGAAACTGCTGGCGAGAACGGCGAAAGCGGAGTTTCCGACGATCGACATGAGCAGCAACGACTTGGCGAAGACGCATCTGAGACACTTTGTAAGTATTTTGAGACTTTTTCCTTGGAGCTCAGGTTTTTCTTCCATGACATTTGAACATTTGAGAATCTGAACTGCGGTCACTGAACCTGATTAGGACTGGCAACCGATGAGGAGCTGCCGAATCTCATGGCTCTTATGGCGAAAGCGGAGCTAACGACCGAGATGTCTAGTAACGACTCGACAAAGACGCATCTGATTTATTTATCCGAGAACTTTTGTTGAACCCTCCAAGTCTTCCATCCAAGCGTTCGTTCATCCGAGATCCTGAACCAATGAGCGAGCGATGCGATGCCTATTTTCATCTTATGAGCTGCTCGGGAGAACACTTTGGAGCTCCCTTTAGCAAGTCATTTCTAAGTGCCTGTGGGCTCACTGTCCGCAGCTGAAAGGGAGTCTTGTAAGATTCCATCCTACCAGCACTCAGCTACTAACTTTGAGTTCTCCGTCCGCAGTAACCTTCGATTTGGCGCCTGTCAGCACTCAGCCCTGATTTGTGAACTCCTTTTGTTCTAGGTGGGCGGGAGGAACAGCGTAGAAGACGAGGTTTTGTACCGGTTCGAGTTTCCGGAGCGGCCCGGGGCGCTGCTCAAGTTCCTAGACTTCCTCAGCCCGCGGTGGGACATCACGCTTTTCCACTACCGAGCCGAGGTGGGTTATCTTGTCAACCCGTTTTCAGAAAGTCATTGTGCTGGGTTTGTTTCTGCTACTACCGCAAACATAGAATGTTCTTTTCAAGTTCCTAGACTTCCTCAGCCCACGTTGCTTGTAACGTTTTAGCTCGTTAACCCTGTCTGTTGCATACCTAACGCTTTCTTGCTGGTGAACGAGGAACTAGGAAAGGTTCTGTTCTTGAGATCTTGTACTTTTTTAGTCCGTGGTGAATCACGAGCTTCCACTCCCGAGCCGAGGATGGTTACCTCTAACCCGCGTGATCGCTTTTGCTTCTGTTTGAACCTTAAAAAGGGCGTCAGATTTCAAAGCGCACCAGTGGCATCTGAGTCCTGAGGGAAAATGTCATCGGACGGACTACAATGCATCTTGAAATATTGGCTCAGCGACCAGTTTGCCCATTTCTGCGGGTTTTGGTCGCCGAGGCGTGACGGGTCCCAGGACGCCCTCTGTAAGTCGTACCGCCCTTGCCATCGCCCTTGTTCACCAGCGACGGAGCACAGGGGCGTCGTCTCATTTCCTTCTCGTGTCCGCTCTTGCAAGGCTCCGCCGCTTTTATGTGTCGTTCTAGAAGCTTTGTCTTGAAGCCGCACGTTTGTCCACAAATCTTTTTTTTGCCTTCTGCTTTTTGACGAACGTGTGGGATGGATGCTTCGAGAAGCTTCCTCTCAGGATCCGTTGATCTGCTCTCGGCCCTTTTTTCCTTGCTTCGAGTCGAACGTATGGGGATGTATGTTGTAAAAGCTTGTTTGCGGATCTTCTTTTTGCTCACGAGCCTTTTCTTTCCTGTATGCTTCAGGGCGAACGTGTGGGAAACGTTCTGGTGGGGCTCCAGATTCCGCCAGCCGAAGAAGCACAGTTCCGGTCAGCGGCCGACGCTTTGGGTTACCAATACGTCTCGGAGGGCAACAACGAAGCGTTCCGGATGTTTTTACGCTAGCCTAATCTGACGTCGCATGTGTCGTCAGCTAGGTTTTGAATTTCTCTCTGTCATTCGAATTCAGTTGTCACTTCTGTGACACGTGCATAGATGGACAAACGTCCATTGAGAGAAGACCAAAAGCGCCAGGCAACTAAACTTGCGTATTGATAGCGGACTCCGCGCTGCATGCCATGATGAATTATAGGGGGCTCGTCCTGTAAGAATCTCAACCGTCTCCTGTCATTCAGCTCCGTCGAATGCCTTTCTTAGACTCAGCACATATCTAGCAATATATAGCAAGGTAGGCGCGACAATCCGCTCCCACGTTTCTGCAATTTCATTTAGTGGCATTGGCTTGTCGAGTTCAAAAAGTTGGAAACTTGAAACTGATATGGCACGCGGTAAGAGTCGACCTGTTGCCCTGCGGCCGCTCCCTTCGTCCCACGCGAGACCGGACTCCATTCGAGTCCGACCCCTCATAACACGCATTTGACTCAATCTTTGTGACACGAGTGCCGGCATTTCGCATTGATAATATGCAGATCAGGCATTAACGTTGCATTCTGTCACAGTCAATCGAAAGTCTGCGCGGGCATTCGTGGCCGGGGCGACCCATACGTGACACTGTGTGTAGACACATCTGCTTCAATTCTTTGTTTTCATTTGGTCTCGTTGCATTAAGTTAGTCAAGGTCAGGACCCATGAATGGGTCCATGATCATTATTATAATATGAACGTACTAGCTTAGTCAATCGCACTCAGTATTACCCGCTGATACCCTAGCTTCAGTTGAGATTGACGCGGACGGTTCCGGCTGTTCTAGCATTCAGAGTCCGAAGGGGCATGCATGATGTGAGTCCGACAATTATTGATGATGTTCAACGCCGAGTGAGCCCGGAACTGACTCGCCTGGGCCTGTTGGAACGTGATTGTCCCGTGATTGTATTGGCCAGGCTCCCGGTCCGGCCAGCTATATTGGATAATCAATATAGTCGTTTGATCAAACGACGGTCCGATTTCATTGGCATGATGCATTAGTTTTCCGACTGTTTGGTCACGGCATGTCACTCAATCGCGTTGGGGCACATTGAATGACGCATGCAGTGCGCGAGACCGTATGAATCCTTTAGTGGCCTGGCTAGCTCTGCTCGGTGTCTGTCCCATGCCGGCCTCGACTCGACCCGTTCCCGATAATTGCTGGCATGCCACTAACTGGCGGCTCAACCAATGGCAATGCTGCGCCGCTAAGTTCGTAAAGGGACAGTTCAGTTGTCGACCGTGTGTACATGCATGTTGGTTTCATAGTATGACTGCACAAATCATGCACTTTTAAACGGTTTAATTATCCACACGTGACATTTCCACCAGCGGAATGGTATTTCCAAACGAGTTCCAAACCACCGCTTCAAGAATTTTGTCGGATTGAAGGGATGAAGGCCCATGTGCCATCTTCGATTGAGCCTCCCGGCTGACATGTCACCTCCGACATTCATGCACAACCTACACTTTAACTAGTAAAGGTACTGCATCTCAGTACTGCATGCTCAGGCATGGTCCTGCACTAGTCCAGTGCAAAATTGCAACCTAAACTAGCCGTGCGCGGCCTCTTATAAGATAAGACTTCAATATAGGTTAAATAAGCTTGAGGTAAAGTAAGCCAAGCAGCGTGTCAGCGTGGGACGGATGGTAGGGTGGGCTTAGTTTCAATGGGGATTTAGGGTGGGTACGGGTGTGGAGCGGGTAAGTTTGAGGGTCAGGTTTCAACACGGTTTCAACGCTAGGAGATTGCTGTACCTACAACTCAGAACTTACTACACCCTCAAACCTAACTTTACCCACACTTTACCATGCAGAGACATCCTTATCATACATACTATATGCCCCTCAATTGTATGAGCGAGGGGGGAGCGGGGCCGGCCGCCCCCCCGCGGCCGCTTTCCGAAAAGCTCAGCTAGGATCATAGGATGACAGAGGAATTAAGATCGCGACGTTCGCGACGTACTGCAGTGGCAAAGGAAGCTAGCCAGGCCGCCGCCGCGCGCCAATGCGCGGCCGGCTTGGTGATGGGCCGGCGGCCGCTCAGTTGTCCTCAAACCCCTAAGGGAAGGTCATTTTGTAGTGAACCCCCTATGTTCAGTCCAGAGCCCCTCAAGACCCGAACGGCCAAGCCCCCCCCCCCCTCCGGCTGTATGAATATGTGTATTTTGCGGCTTTTTTGCCCCTGAGAACAGCATTTTCAGATCCCGATATTACAACAGATTCCGAGCCTGCGGCTCGACCATGGCCGAAACCCCGAGCCCCCCCCCCCCTCCCGCCGCCCTGAGGATTCCAAACCCCCAACCCCCACCCTCTGAACTGAACATAGGGGGTCAGCTTCAACATGACCTTACCCTAATGAAAAGGTGGGGCCTCCGCCGGCCGGATCGACCCGTCCCAGAATATCTCCCAAAACGATCCTCTCAACATCTTACTGGCCAGGAGTACCACGCGTGGCAGATCCTGGAAATCTGAGAATCGGCAAACGGGTGGTCAATTTTGCAGGAGCCAGCTGCTCTCTGACACGTCATTTAACAGGTGCCGAAAAGCACGAATCCAGTTCGCGTGTGGTCAAAAGGCCTCTGAATCCTGATGATTGGAAGTTGGTTGAGTAATTCGGCGAATTTAACCGTTGTAAATCTAGGTCTCTCTGAAGAAGCAAAGCAGCTACGGTTTATAGCTGGGTTAGACAATAAGACGAGTTTGATATGAGGTCACCCTGAAAATGACAATGCTCACTTTTCCAACAGCCCGTACTACCGTAGAGAGACCGAACAGACTGAACTGAACACAGTGAACAGACTGGCCGGACAAATTTTCCAGTTGCCCGACTACCATCTGCTTGTTGCAACGAACTTTCAACTGTGGCAGTCTTCCAAGTTGTGGCGCAGTCTTCCAAGTTCTCTGTGTGTCTCCCACCATGCAGATGCTGACAGCTAGCAAGGAGAACAGCTTTGAAAACAGATCCAGCGGCGGCGGCTAGGGGCGCTTCCAGAGTTGAAATCTTGCGAGTTGCTCCAGAAATCATTGGACAGGAGGTCAATGCGGGCGCCCGTTGAGCTCCATCATCAGGTTATAATCTAGATTACCCTGAGCTCTAATGCTCGTCTGAGTAGCAGGTGCGAAGGTCAGAATCTTGGCAAAAAGGGGCATCTCAAGGGCAGTGTTTCATTGGTCTTGATGCGGTTGTCGTAGACCATTCCAGGCATTGACCGCATGGTTTGCGGACAATCAGGCCGGTGCAAGTCCCGCTCACCTCTCCGGGCGTGAGGCCTTCTCTCACCGCCAAGCGTTCCTCCTCAAGAACAAGACCTCTTCGGGATGCACGTCGTATGTTTGGGCAGCAGCAGGTAAACGGCCAACCTTGCAGGATTTGACTGACGTCCTCAGAAAGACCTGCTAAGTGCCTGTTCCGACGGAAATTTGAGAATGCTTCTTGTTCATGCTCAGCGACGCCACTTCTTTGTTGCTCCAGCTTTGCTGCACTTGAAGCTTGAGACTCCTCCAGAGCATTCTGGTCTGCCGTGCAACAGCTATTATTCACAGATCGTCAAGAGGCAGAGTTTGATTGTCCTGCTTGCTGACAGCCCTCGCTGAGTGATTGAAGAGAGGATAGGACAAACTTTGAGATGCTTGACATGATGCTCAAAGTGACTCAAACAAGTGCGGCTTATTCCCAATCTGGAAGGGATTGCATTGTGTCTTTTCACAATGGATGTGCTTGGCAAGGGAGCTCTGCATCTCATTTAGTGTGACTAGCAGTGGCACAAGAGGAGCTCTGCTTATCTTCAAATGGAAAATGAGGTTCATCTTTGACAGCAACAACGTGCTGACGAACTTATGAAGTACGAAGCGAAAGAACGCTGAAAAGTCTGCATAGATCTTGTTGTTTAGCTCATTTCAACAAAGAATTTCTTGATGCAAGTAATAAATAGAGCGCAACGTCTGCTCTCTCTTCATTGATTGGTTTCAGCGTTGACTCTGCTTCAAAGAAGAAGATGGTATGCATTGGCTAGGTTTTCATTTCCACCTGAATGATTCACAAACATGAGTCAGAATCTGATTGTTTCCTGACAATATCTGTCGAGACCATCCTCCAGTGCTGTGCGTTTATGGAAGTCAGCAGGGGTTATACCCATCAGATTGAGATTGAGCAATGAAAGACCCATTTGCAGCCTTTGAGGGGAGTGGCCATCTCTTTCTCCCTCAGATGGTTGTTTCTGGCGACTACCTGCCACCACAACAGAGGCTTTCTCGAGGAGTTTGAAGAGTTTCCAGACCCCGGAATTCAACTACAACTTTGATATAAAGTTCCGGCATACCAGGTTGTAGAGTGGCACCACAACTCTTCCTTGATCTTCACTGCACTGGCGCGTCACCTCACATACTGAGCAATCCTCCAACTTTTTCCAGGTAGGAGATGATGTCACATACTTAAGCCAGCGAAGGAAAGCTCAAAACAGAGCAAACAGGGGAACTGCACGAAACGTCCTTGTAAGGTGATGGTTCCCCGCTTTGCTCACTTCGGACGCTATCACTTCCTCAGCTGCTCTGAGTGGTAATCCAGGCTTCTGCTACGCTGCTGCTGTTTCAAACCGAGCCGCTAGCCTGTGTAAGGTGCGCCTCTCTCTTAGCTTAATTGCAATGGGTTGGTTAGCAAAGCGGGATGCAGATGGAACACACTCGAATCGATTGAATCCTAGAAGCAAGTATGGGTTCACATAGCAGGAGGAGCAATTAAGTCACCCATTGACAATTGGTGGTATACAGACAGGATCAGGAATCGTGGGGGTGGTTTTGCACGCTCCCCCTTCCAAATGACGGAATAGCGCTTTTCTTGCTCTGTCTTCTGGATATGAGGCCCTACTCAAACGACACTGAGCTCTGAGGTAATGCTGAACGAACCCTGAGCGAAAGTGAAAACTACCACAAGCACAGCCAACACAGCTTACAGAAAGGAGCAGGTGTTCCAGCTGAAACCGATCATTGTAGCCTGTGTCGCATCTTGCCCAAAGTTGCAAGTTCAACAAACACCATGTGCTGATTACAGTCTGTACTTTGCCCAGGCAATCACTAGTCCAATGCTGAGCAGTAAGCAAGGCGGATGTTGCGGCTGAGGAAGCCTCCTAGCTCAATGACCAACAGAGACCAGGTAAGTCAGACATTTGCCCCTTGACTTGGTGAAGTTTTCCAAAATCTTGATTGGTGTTTTGAGAGCTGAGGTTTTGTTACACTTCCTATGTCAACGTTTTGACTCGGCGGCTGGATCGGTATGTGTTTTGACAAGACCAATGACCTTACCTGGAACCATTTACAGCTTTGGTTAGTTTTTTGGCCCCTTGTATGCTTATTCTCCTGTCAAAATTACTTTGCTGCAAAAGTCGACTTCTCTGAGGTCTCTCTGGCCAGCCGATACAGGCGTATGTTGAAGTTGCATCAAGCATATGATTGCCCTACTTGTAGAGCTTACTCGTGACAAATGTTCAACGGTTCAAACAACGCAGTCCCCTGAGTTGTCCTTTCAGCAAAGAGCACGTTCCAGATCCACCATTTTTGCCCTTTTTTTCTTCCTATTTTGCTGTTGTCATGAGTTGCTAAGGTGATGTCAGCGCAATGAACGATCTTGTGAACTAAAGAAGGGACTCTGAGCTGACTTGTCTTTTGATTGGAGAAATGTTTGAAATCTTAAGGATTATTCCTTTCACCCTCTCTTGGATCTATGCTTCAGACGGGATCCTCGGCTAAGATTGTTTCACCAGATAGCTACAACACGATTGTAATTTGGAGAGCCTAGATCAGATATTCCCGCCCTTCATCTTAACATTTCTTTCTTCTGATTACCGGTTGAGAACTCCGCTCTCCGTCATCCTTCATCCGCGCTCGATCTTGGGAAATCGAACATGGAGACTCGCCCCTGATCTTAAGACTCGACAATTCCTGCTCCTCTTGGAGCAGGAAAGAGGATACGCACGGGGGCGCCAAGCTGATGCCTACACAGGTCTTGAAGGTACCCCTCCCGTGCTCTCTGCCTTGCACCCCCACAGATTTCCCTCTCTTTCTTACCCCTTCGCAAACCGGTCCTTCAGCCATCGATATTGAGATATTTTTACTCTTCTCTCCCTTGCAGCCAAAGATGGGTCACGCGGGAGCCCCAAGCTGATGCACACACAGGTCTCGAAGGCATCCCTCCCTTGCTCTTTGCCTTGCACCCCCACGAATCTCTCCCTCCTTCTACCCCTTCGCAAATGGTCCTTTCATCCATCGACATTGAGAATCATTTACTCTTCTCCCCCTTGCAGCCAAAAATGGACTCACGCGGAGGCCCCAAGCTGATGCACACCCAGGCTCTTTGCCCGGGTCGCCCTACCAACAAAAGCCCGACGTTCATCACCGACAAGCGCCCCGTCACGGGGGCCCTCGACAAAACGTCCCCCGACAAAACGATGACGGCATTCAAGGAGAACGTGCAAGGGCAGCAGGGGTTTCGACGGGCGTACCGGTCGGCGGGGTCGCATCCGGACGTCGTGTCGGGAGCGACGATGGTGTGGCCTCCAATGGCCGGGAAGAATGGTACCGCGCACGAGCGGGCGCTGTTTTTTGCGTCGTTAGGGGCGGGGCAACGGGCAGGGCCAGTGCACGAACGCGAGGCGCGGACTCTGTACGACCTGATGCTGATCCGGGGGTGCAACAGCAAGCTCTTACAGCACTACTCCAGCATTCTCGGGACTGCGCTCGGGTTACGGACAACCAAGGGTTTGCTAACCACGCAGCCGGCGATCGTCGTCTATGTCTCGCGCAAGGTTAACCAGGCGTGGTTAGACGACCACCAAACCCTCCCCGACAAGCTCCGCGGCCCCGACGGCCTCTGGTGCGACCTCGACGTGATCGAATTCGCGGACGGCACCGCGCAAAAGGCGGAGAGCTACTCCGGGTTAGCGGATGGGTTACGGGGCGGCGACACGCAGATCGGCCCCGGTTCGCAAGTCGCGACGTCGGAAGTTTACGGGACGCTGGGCGCAATCGTTCGGTGCCGGTCACAGAAGCGGTTAGGGTTCTTAACCAACCGGCACGTGAGCGTGGATTTAGACCAACCCCTCCAGAAACTGTACCACCCACTTCCCCCGGTGCTCGGGGCGAACGTGTACCTGGGGACCGTCGAGCGGGCGGTCTCGTACGCGACAGATCATCTGTGGTACGGCAAGTTCTGCAGCCCAAATCCAGGTGAGATGGTTGAAAATGCTCAGCGTTTGGTTTCTTTGAGAGACGTGTCTGCTACGTTCTGCTTCTTCTCTATAATTCTGCTTTTGGATGTGAGAGCTGTCGAAAGGGCGGTCGTGTGTGCTGCTGTTTCTGAGGACCAGGACGTCTCGCAGTCGTAATCCAGCTCTGCGAGCCTGCTGTCCGCTAAGCAGTGCGAAGTCAAGGTTCGGTTTATGTGAGACTCTTTTACTCAGACGAATGGAAGTCTTATGGTCTCATAAGAAGAGCGGGAAGGACGTGAGTCTTAAGTTCACGGCCAGGGTCCTCCTTTCCACTTGCATCCTGCAACCAGCCTAGAAAAGTGTCAAAGCTGGAAAAGAGTCCAATCCAGCCCCTAAACCGGCCCTGCAGATGAAGTTCTGTCTATTGCCGAAGTTGCGCACTCACATCCACCAGTGACATCGGACTCGAGTTCTAAAACTTAATCGCCTGTGTGGGATTCCTTGACTCCCAGGTCATTTTTTCAGTTATGACGTCTTGGTAATTGAATCTGCTCCACGTGCAGATTCCAAACCGTTTGCTGCAAAGTTGGGCCGAGGAAAAGGAGCTTTCCCCAGTTGCACGGTCCAGAATTTGTTTCGATGCAGTTCCATCTTGGAAGTTCGCGCCGCTGGACGCGCAGATTGTCACATTCTGCGTACTCGAATGTGCTCTACGTGCACTTTTTGAACCACCACTTCTTCTCGTATAACCCTGGTTAAGATGCAGATTCTTAACCCGCTACTTCGACTAACCTAACCCTGTGTAATGTGCAGACTCTTTCGTCCGCGCCGACGGCGCATACGTTCCCTTCGCCGACGACTTCAACCTGCACCAAATCACACCCGAGATGAAGGGGATCGGGAAGCTCGGGCCGGTGTTCGAGATCGACCTGGAACTGCCGGTAACTAGCATAGTGGGGAAAAAGGTGCATAAAGTCGGTCGGACCACTGGGCTGACGACAGGTGTCATCATGGCGTGCTCGGTGGAGTACGACGACGATAAAGGGATTACGATCTACACGGACTTCCTGGTACTGGGGGACAAGGGAAACCCGTTCGACGCCGAGGGGGATAGCGGGAGTCTGATCGTCATGCATGTGAGTGGATTACTTTGATCCAACTTACTAGATCGGACGAAGCTCCGTCTTATTATCGTTGAAATTGATCGGACAGTCTCGATGTGGAGCGACGCACGACGAATTCCCTCTGGGCTCTGGGCAGTGATTGAGGATTCAATTTATATTACGGGCAGTCATTGAGAACTTTTATTGGGATCAGGGCAAGAACTGCTGTTTCATACTGGATTGTGGGCTCTTGAGCCAACCTACAGTGGATGAATCCAGCGTCTTCCAACTTTCGCCGCTTTCCCGACTTCACGAGGGTCGTGGAGATTGTGCTTGGCTCCATCATTTGAAAACAGGCACTTGCAACCAGCGTCGATCGATCTGACCGGTTCATACGCTTTGCTTGAAGTCAAAATTTGAGTTCTTTTACAGCATAGCACCTCAAGAGTGGTTTCTGGCGCAACCTTTCTGCTTTCAGTAAAATCTGACGTTGCTTGAGGTCTCCGACACCTGACTAGTCGTAGTAAATGTCAACCAATCTTGACCATCCTTTCGACAATTGTCTCCACATGCCCAGGGCGAGGGCAACAAGTTTCCCGCCGGCGAGGCGAGGGACGACAACCGGCCTTCGACGTTCCGCTTTCGAAGTCTCAAAACACCCAACTTCTCTTTGACTTAGAAACGCAGAACTGATGCAAACAGCTTTTGGCTTTGCGGTGCAAATGCACAAACTTGTCTGCCTTCTTTGGGGTAACGTCCAGTAGTAGGTGCTCGAAAGCGAGGGCCCGCTTTTCTTACCTGGCCATACCTTTTTACAGGATCTCTTGTGACTATCTGCACATCTCAAAGCCCTAAGCTGTTAACGGCAAAAACCCGGCGTGAAAGCCCTTGAGATGACTGATACGCGACCGTTTTCTTATAGGGCGAAGACAGGAGTCTGCCCCGTCCGATTGGGCTCGTCTGGGGGGGCACCGTAAACCACGGACGCTTAAAACTGCGCGACGGCGCCGGACCTGAGAATTGGACGTCCGGGATCGGGCTTGCGCGTCTGCTCGATCTGCTGGATGTGGATCTGGTGACGTCACTTGATCAGAGCGGATCGGGTAAGAGCATCTTGGTATTGATTCCCTCTTCAAAGTGCCTGAGTTCAATTGGTTTTTGGGCAGAGGGGTCTCTGTGAGAGCGTTCAGGATTTTGTTTCTTTCTCCGGGTTTGGCCGTATTGATCCCCTTGAGGGAGAAGACGCCGCGGAATGCACCGGGACATTCGATTGGTGACGTTTTCTCTATCAGCGGGGTCCATTCACGGAACATGGTAGTTCTGTACTCCGCCTCTGTTTGCATTCGGTTTTGCTGTGCTGCAACCGTGCCTGTGGGCGGGTTTGACGCCTTCCAATCAGTGGGATCAGGTGGGAGGACCTTTCTTTTCATGTTGTCCTCGTTTTGAAATCGTCATTTGCTATCCGGTGAGAGTTAGAACGGCCGCTGGATGTGTCAACATGGGTTTGATGACGTTACGAGTTCAACGGGGGCGTGTTGAGCGGACAGCCTTCAGCGTAGCATCCTTTGAAGTTCCTTTCTCGCTTCCTCTTCCTACTTTTCACGCCGAGAGGGTTGCAGAATCTTTTTTTTTGTGATTCTTTCAATGACGTCACTGAATGAGCGGAGTCCGGGTTCTAAGGCCAAAGATGGTTTGACTAGCAGGAGCAAAGTGAGGAAGCGCCCTGTTCCTTTCCATTTGTCACCCTTCTCGTCGCTCTTTTGCCTGCGGGCAGGCAGAAATACTCGACGTCAGTTCGGTGACGTCACTCGACCAGTGGTGTCCAGATAAGAAGGCACCTGCTTTTCTGATTTTGTGGAGTACAATCTTGTCTGCCTCCGTTGGTTGGAAACTCGGCAGCAGCATACGGTGACGTCAAGTCGGCAGTAGCATACTATGACGTCACTCGAGCGGGGGCCTGGTAGGTGGCAACCCCGGTTTTGTCCGCCCATGTACCCTTTTTCGTTCATTGTTCGGTGTAGAGTAGAGAGCCAAGGGGTGTGCACGCTTTCGCTTTGCTGACGTCAGTCGACGGGCAGGACCCACGGTAAGGGAGACTCCTTGTCCACTCCGCGAGCCCTTGTGCTTAGAAAACCTTGCCGTTTAGAATGACTTGAAAGCCTCTGGGTCGGAACCTCACGATTGTTCATCTCGCAGCCTCGGCTTGGTTCGTCAGCTGACCGTTTGGCACGAACGTGCGTATGGAGACAAGCAGCTTCGTCTTTGAGCGCGGGCGTCTGTTCAGAAAGTGACGGTTTTTCGGGACACTGGAGGCTGGGCTGCCTGATACTACTTTGCTGCCATGAGATTCTCTCGTGCGGCGTCATGCGGCGTCCAAATCGGCTGCAACGGAGGCTTCTCGGTCGCCGTGATGGGGATAGTTGACAGGATGCCCAAATGAGCATCGGCTGAGCACGTAATCACAATCTCACACCTAGGTAACGGTTTAAATTTGAGCGAAACAAGTCCTCCTTTCGTCCTTCTGCAGCATCCTTCAATCCGACGGGCACGGAAACCAGCGTTTTCTCTCCAAGCGCGGATGGCGCAACCTAGCGTCGTATGAGAGGTGGGTGCTCTCATTCATTGTCTGATTTATTCGATGCGAGTTTTTAAAAGGACGTAGACAAGGGAAAGGAAAAACAGCATTCAGCGAGATAAGTGAACAAGTCCGTGTCCAATTGTCCGAAGTGCTGTGTCCATCTCAAAGCACGTTCGAAAAGGCTTCTTCAACGACAATTCCGGGGGGTTCTTTGTATGGACAAAGATGACGTAGGGCTTGGAAAGCATGATCGCAGAACGCGCATCTTGGCATTCCGTGAGACGTTGGAAGTCTCTTTGTGCACACGAAAAACAGGTCGCTGAACGTGGGCAACCTCTAAATGCAAAGAGAGCCTGAAGCGGCTGACAGCAGAATTCTTACACAGTCTGTTCGCCAAGGTTTGTGGATATTGGAAGTCTCGATTTAAGAGGAATCGTTCTCATACGGCCGGTGTGCGTTGAGAGCTTAAGGGATTGTAAGGCTAGTGCACGTCGAGAGAAAGGCCGTTTGTCCTCCGTCAGATGCGGCTGATAAAGCGGGGCTTACGGTCGCTGCAGACTCGCATGAACACGAACTTGATGGTTTGCGTTGAATGTGATTCCAACGAGCTACCTACGTCATTAAATATCTGCGCCAGAATAAAAAGCAAGAGCGATCCTCAGGGACAATGTTGGTTTGAGTTGCTTGCAATCGAAGTCTCCAGAATTATATCTTGAAGCTCCCCTTCTCGAATCTCCTCGTGCAGGTGGTGTGCAAGTGCATTGCATCAATCTAACATCGTCGAGGTGAAGCTTAGATACCAATGTGGACCTCCAGTCCAAACTGCCGGTCATGCTGCTTGCGGTTTTGTTGCGGTGCTCGTGGTTATGGCGAAGTGAGCATGCGGATGAGTTTGTGACGTGAGTGTCAAAGATAGCAGTCTGCTCGCCCACAACTAGCAGTTGCATGGTTTAATGTTCAATTGAGCCAGTTGCGCCTCCTTATACTCGGAATGTACAGTTCGGACATGGATTCAGAGTTAGCTTATGAAAGAAATAGCCCCTCAATGAAGCATTGGTGAAACCCATACAGAACGCATTTATCACCCCCAATGGTGAGTTTAGTCGGCAATTGCTTTGACACTAGTTTGAGACTTTTGTAATCATTAAAATCGAGTAAGCTGGATGTTTTTAGATTGTTGTAATGATTGACGTATTGCTAAAGGTGGATCTGTTATTTGCTCTAACCATTAGTGATGGTTCAAGAAGATCATCATTGTGCGTTGGTCTCGTCAATCTGCACCAGATTATCAGTCACCAAACAATGGCAGAGATAAAAACTCTCACATACATGCAATGATGGCTTTTGTAAGTTCTTAGAAGATCGATCAACTGAGCTACTAGCTGATGGTAATTTCCAAATTATCGCCCTTTCTTAGCCTGAGCCACCATGGCGGTGGAGCACACCGACGGTCTCCGGCACGGCCGGGAATCTATTTTTGACTCCGCGGCAGGCTTGCTACGGCTACGTTTCATGTCCAGCAAGATATGCGAACCCTAATACTACATGGACGCCAATAAGCAAGATGCAGCTTAACTAGCTTCGGACTCATCATCGGGCATAGTAGAGCGCATATTCCAAGATGCGGAGCTCTGTAGGTCTGGGATGCTTGACACACTTCATACATTTATGCGGCCGTGAGAAGCCTACATGGCCTATAGGTTGCTGGTAGCTATGCGTACGAAAAGCGACCATCGGATTGACCGATAGAACCTTCGATCCTAGCTACCCAAGTCAAACTTACCGGCCAATACATCAATTGACGGTATACATGCCAGCACACGCTCCCCACCCTAACTTCCCTCAAACCAACCCTACCGTCCCTGTCCCCCGGGTGCTAGCTGCGTAGTCGACATGCCGTTAGTCAACGTGATCGCAATCGCGACCTATCCGTCTAGGTCGTATGCATGCACCGGACTTCCCCCGGATACCCGGACTTCTCAAAGACACTACTCACAACTCTGACGGATATATGCCTATGGCATCGCAGACTGCCTCATGCATGTTGAATGGTGCTAGTTCGCTGAGCACCTTCGAACCTTAGTCCGACTGCATCAGTGAGACCGCTGAGACCGGTTATAATTTGTTTACGCTAGCCCCCCGCTAGCCAGGCGCTACCGTGGCGCTACCCATGCTGGACCTCATGGACCGGACATGCTAAGTTTCATCGTCTAAATGCAATCAATCAGAATGATGATTTTGCACTTCTGTAAAAGTACATCATGGCAGTTGTATCACGTATGAACGTATGATACGCGAGATGAAAATGAGCAAACAGATCGATGAAACAGCCCCCCGACAGCCATTCTGCCTGTTTCCTTACTGCAACTTCGTACGGACTTTCAGGACTCAAATGTCTGGTAAGACACAGAGCCTGAGGCCGGGTAGGCCCAGCTGTACAACTGTTGTAGGAACGTGTGTTGTCCGCGCCGCTCCCTCCTCTTTCGGTCTTAGCGCCCCCTGAGTCAAGCGTCGTTGCACCCGAAAGTGGACGATAATTGTAGAGCCGACTTAGAACCGGCACCGGTTCTTACATGACCTGCATGACCGTCACTTTCTTTCACATCAGCAGAGGAGCAGAGGCGCAGAGGCGCAGA